ATACCTGGCCAGTCATAAAACTTTATAATCCATCCAGAGTCCAGCATAATCTCATCTCCCAATCTTGGGGAAAGTCACTTCTCCCCAAATATAAGATGAAAGAGTTGGCCAGATGGTCTCTGAGGGCCCATCCAGCTTCCATGATCTAAAATCTGGGAAAGCATAGAAAGTGACTATTTCCTCAATAACTGAGACACACCCCAAACTTTTCAGGAATGAAGGAAACATTACCACATGCTGCATAGACAGGGCCAATAGGATGCTTCTTGATTTCAGCAGCATGGAAAAGTGCTTTTGGACATGAAATGAATTGGAATACTAAATGCTATGGTTCACGAAGGTGATAGAATCATAGTTCAGAACACAATTTAAGGACTTGTGGAAATGCTCATTATATGTTAAGGGAGAAAAGCCATTTGCACAATTGTATTATATATAATATATGTATGTTTCAGAGGGCTATTCAATAACTTCATAGAAATGCTCTTTTAGGCATAGAATTATGGGAGGTCTTTATTTTGTTCTTTGAAAATTTCTCTATAATGAACACATTTTGCTTTTGAAACAGAAAATAAAATTTTATTTATTTTTAGTTTTGGGGGGCTGAGGAAAGACCTCAGTTACAAAGATTTGGGTTAATTGTACTCCTTAGGCACATTGTTGTTGGTTTAAAAAGGAACTTTAAAAAATACTGAATACTACTTCCACTAGAGGGCGCTATTCTTAAATTTTAGACTGCCTGTGATGCTGAAGATTTGGAAAGGAAGTTTCAAGATTTCATTTCAATCCAGTTGGGGAATCAAGCCTATTTATTTGTTTGCTTGTTTGCTTGGCTTTAAATAACTTTTTTATTTTGGAATAACTTTAGATTTACAGAAAAGTTACAAAGGTTGTCCAGAGAGTTCCTGCATGACCTTTGCCCAGTTACCCTAATGTTCATATCTTACATAGCAATGCTACATTTATCAAAATTAAGAAATTAACATTGGTATATTACTATTAACTAAACTACAGACTTTATTTGAATTTTTCCAGATTTTCTGTTAATGTTCTTTTTCTGTTCTAGGATACAATCCAGGGTACCACATTGCATTTATCAATTTTTTTTAAACACCCATAACTGTAATAATTGTAATAGCCACAAATTATCATTTATATTTTGCTTGAAGATCAATATTTTTTAAAGAAAGGTGGAGGTTAGCATTTTTTCTTTAATCTCTCTTTTTATTTTCATTACATTTGTAAGTTATTTAACCTTTTCAACCCCTAATTTATGTCATCTGCATTTGCTTTTTGCAGTGTGTGTGGAAGCATCATTTTTGGTAATTTGTATCTCCTGTGTTAGTCCATTTCTGTTGCTTATAACAAAATACCTGGAACTGGGTAATTTGTAAAGAAAACAAAATTTGTTGCTTACAATTTCAGATGCTGGGAAGTCCAAAATCCAGGGATCACATTTGGTGAAGGCCTTGGTGGTGGCAACAGTGACCCAAGGGTCTCATACGGCAGTAAATGGCAGTGCAGAGAGAGGGATAGTTCCTCATGCGCTCTCCTTTTAAAGCCCTCAGAACCACACCCATGCCCACCATTATTAATCCACTCACTACGGCATGGTCCTACAATCTAATCACCTCTTCAAAGCACCACCGTTCAATTACCATAAAGGATTTCCCACCCTCAACAGTAACAGTGGGAATTAAGTTCCTAATAATATGAAATTTGGGGGACACAATCCAATCAGTCCACAGCATCCTCCAATTAATCTTTTTTTTTAATTTTTATTTTTCAGTTTATGTTTCCCCAACAGGATGTCATTAAAAGATGAAAGCTAAGGACTTATTGATAATTTGTTCGGTATAATAATGGCATTGTGTTTAGGATTTTTTTAAAAAGTTATGTATGAGATACATTCTGACGCTTTTACAGATGAAATTATTTATTTTGGAATATTTTAGCCAGTAAAAAAATAGGGAGAACA